AGGAAGGAAGGAAGGAAGGAAGGAAGGAAGGAAGGAAGGAAGGAAGGAAGGAAGGAAGGAAGGAGAAAAGGATTAGGAGCTGGTGTTTAGGATTAAAATAAAACTTCAGCCTGATCAAAAAAAAGGTGCAAAAGCCATGGCTCATGGCAAGTTTGACGATGTTCAAACCAGACTTACCTTGACTGATTTTAATATTGGTGTGTGGGAAAGCCTGGATGATGAGGAATGTCCCACTGAGGGTAGCATACCAATTCCATCTGAATATCATGACTGAGAAGAAGTCCCTCCAGAGCAGCAGACAGCTGGCTGTTCAATGCTTCCTTGTAGCAGCTCCCGGCCCCTCTGTATGAAATGCCACCAAAGAAATAAGTGGAGCTGCTGCTGCTACTTGGAGGCTTTGTGAACAACTCCCTCCTCTGCAAGGAAGGACTTCCAACCCGAACTTTTGGCTCCTCACAGGAGAATTACATTCCCCCCCCCCCCCCCGTCTCACACACTTACCTTCCCCCACCTCTCTCCCACTCACGCATAAATGCCCCTCTCACCCCCATCCCCTTCTTTCACACACAAACTCACACTCTCACTGTATTGTCAAAGGCTTTCATGGCTGGAATCACTGGGTTGCTGTCAGTTTCTCGGGCTGTATGGCTATGTTCCAGCAGCATTTTCTCCTGACGTTTCACCTGCATCTATTGCAGGCAACTTCAGAGGTTTGTTCAGAGGTCTGCTGGAAATGAGGCAAGTGGAGCATCCAGAATGGGGTAAAAAACCCTTATCTGTTTGAAGCAAGTGTAAATGTTGCAATTAGCCCACCTGATTAGCATGGAGTAGCCTTGCTGTTGCTGCCTGGGGGCATCCTTTGTTTGGGAAGCGTTAACTGGCACTTGGTTGTTTGCTGTCTGGAATTCCCCCTTTTTTGAGTAGTGTCTCCATAGGGACCACCAAACACAGCAGTATTGCCCAGACACAATTCAAAGAACATGAAAGGCACTGCAGACTAATTCAACCAGAGAAGTCAGCTATAGCAGAGCACTTGAGGAACCGACCTGGACACAGAATATTATTTGAGAACACAGAAAGGCTGGACCACTCAGACAACAATCATGTCAGACTACATAGAGAACCCACTGAAATCCATAAGAAGCATGTGGACAATTTCAACAGAAAGGAGGAAATCATGAAAATGAACAAAACCTAGTTACCAGTATTTAAAAAAAACAACAGAATCAAGACAGTAAATAAAGAACATCACTAGAAACAGGGGAACTCCAAACAGCAAACAATCAAGTGCCAGTCAACTCCTCCCAAACATAGGGTCTCCCAGGCAGCAACAGCCGAGCCATACAGCACAAAAAACTCACAGCAACCCTCACACTCTTGTGTTTACATACAAGCATCTCTCTCTTTCTCAAGCGCACTCATATACCATCTCTCACTCATCCACACATATATTCACTATACCCACTGTCTGTCTCACACACAAATGCACCAATGCATTTGATAGAGTTACAAGCTGGATAGATGCGGGGAATGCCGTGGATGTAGCATACCTGGATTTCAGTAAGGCCTTCGACAAGGTCCCCCATGACCTTCTGGCAAGGAAACTAGTCCAATGTGGGCTAGGCAAAACTACAGTGAGGTGGATCAGTAATTGGTGAAATGGACGAACCCAGAGGGTGATTCTCCCCAATGCTTCCTCTTCATCTTGGAAAGAAGTGACAAGTGGAGTGCTGCAGGGTTCCGTCCTGGGCCCAGTCCTGTTCAACATCTTTATTAATGACTTAGATGAAGGGTTAGAAGGCAGGATCATCAAGTTTGCAGATGACACCAAATTGGGAGGGAAGCCAATACTCCAGAGGACAGGAGCAGAATTCAAAACGATCTTGACAGATTAGAGAGATGATTGGCCAAAACTAACAAAATGAAGTTCAACAGTGACAAATGCAAGATACTCCACTTTGGCAGGAAAAACGAAATGCAAAGATACAGAATGTGGGACAATGCCTGGCTCGAGAGCAGTACGTGTGAAAAAGATCTTGGAGTCCTCATGGACAACAAGTTAAACATGAGCCAACAATGTGATGTGGCGGCAAAAAAAGCCAATGGGATTTTGGCCTGCATCAATAGGAGCATAGTGTCTAGATCTAGGGAAGTAATGCTACCCCTCTATTCTGCCTTGGTTAGACCACACCTGGAATATTGTGTCCAATTCTGGGCACCACAATTCAAGAGAGATATTGACAAGCTGGAATGTGTCCAGAGGAGGGCGACTAAAATGATCAAGGGTCTGGAGAACAAGCCCTATGAGGAGCGGCTTAAGGAGCTGGGCATGTTTAGCCTGAAGAAGAGAAGGCTGAGAGGAGATATGATAGCCATGTATAAATATGTGATAGGAAGCCACAGGGAGGAGGGAGCAAGCTTGTTTTCTGCTTCCCTGGAGACTAAGACGCGGAACAATGGCTTCAAACTACAAGAAGGAGATTCCATCTGAACATGAGGAAGAACTTCCTGACTGTGAGAGCCGTTCAGCAGTGGAACTCTCTGCCCCGGAGTGTGGTGGAGGCTCCTTCTTTGGAAGCTTTTAAACAGAGGCTGGATGGCCATCTGTCAGGGGTGATTTGAATGCGATTTTCCTGCTTCTTGGCAGGGGGTTGGACTGGATGGCCCATGAGGTCTCTTCCAACTCTTTGATTCTATGAGTCTATGATTCTATAAGACATATAGCATTCTCTCTCTCTTACACAAACGCAAGAACTTTGCGTACGTACATACACAAATCCATCTCTGTCTCTCGATTTCTCTACTTCATCCTCTCTCTTTCTCTTTCATGCGCATGCACACTGACACTTCCCTCCCTCTCATACAGATATATGTACAGGACAGATATTCCAAATCCTGACAATCAAGAGTCAGGAATCCCCAGGATAAGCTAAAGAAGGCAATCTCATTCCTGATGCAAACTGTGCTGATTGAGGAGGGTTGTATTGCAGCAGTCTCGAACACTTCTTATCTTCAGCTGTGAGTCCTGACCTCAAATGGGGTCCCCTGAGCTCAACATTGGGGTCACAATAACATTTGGCAACAATGACAGGTTTCTGCACGCCACCTAGTGGCTGTTTTAGACATATACACAAATCTGTTAAAGAGGGTTTACAGTGGACTCTGCAAAAGAGGCTTCAGCAGTACTTCATAAATAGGAAAATCAGCAAATTTAGAGAGCCTTTTTTATTAGTCAATGTTTTAGTTTTATACTTATTTTATATACCTATATACCTGGGGCTGCATAAAAATATCTCAGGCAGAAAAGGGGTCCCAAGTGGAAAAACATTTAATAAGTCCTAGTCCAGAGCACAGAGTTTTATTTTTTTCAGTTTCCATTTTTTAAAAGCTTCTTCTTCCATTTAAAGGCAGAGCATAATGTCTGCAGCCATACCAAAGCAAGAGAACACAAGGAGGACTGTATATACTTACTCATGCACAATTCTGCCTGTTTTGCATGCAGCTGACCCTCTTTAACTTCTTTTAAGTTGCACAACTGGTCTGTGAAGTGCAGGAGGTCAGTGCTGATTCAAAGAAGAGGATTACAAGGGTGACTGGGAATAACAGGTAGGTCAAAGCTCTTTCACTCTTCAACCATCAGGGAAGCAGAACCCATTTGTCTCCTGAAGCCAAACTGATCAGGCAAACCCATGATCAAAAGAGCAGAAAGAAACAGGATTCCAGGGACAACAACAAGAAGACAACACCTGGAGTGTGTTCTTTATTGAAACACGTAGTGAACAAGCATCTTCATTCAATGTAGTAAGACTAACTAGTAAGCATTTGTAGGAATTGTATTGTAGAAGGCTTTCATGGCCAGAATCACTGGAGTGTTGTGTTTCCAGGCTGTACAGCCAATGTGTCCTAGCAGCATTTTCTCCTGATGTTTCACCTGCATCTGTGGCTACTGACATCTTCAGAGGATCTGATGGTGGTCAAGCAAGTGAAGTGTATAATATACAATATGTGTGGAATAATGCCCATAGTGGGAGAAGTAACCATTGTCTATTCACCCAGTGTGAAGGGTGCCATTAGCAAGCCTGATTTGCAAGCTCATGGAAGGCAAGCGGGACTTGAATGTGACGAATGAATGTTATTTCAATCCTGGAGATAGAACAGCATCCTCCATCCCACCCAAGGGCAGACAAATAGTTTACGGAGTGCAAAGCAGCTACAAAGCATATGTGCCATTCTACTTTGAGAGAAAGCTGGAATACAAAACAAGCCAATAAATAAAAAGGCACACTGGATTTAAGAGCAAAGATGCTTAACAATGCAAAATTTGGCTGAATGTGCCACTCTGTAGAAACAATTGTGAGTTCGGAATATCTCTGATTAATGTGTTGTCGAAGGCTTTCATGGCCGGAATCACTGGGTTGCTGAGAGTTTTCCAGGCTGTATGGCCATGTTCCAGAAGCATTCTCTCCTGATGTTTCATCCACATCTATGGCAGGCATCTGCAGAGGTTGAGGGATCTGTTGAAAACTAAGCAAGTGAGGTTTATATATCTGTAGAGTTCTTTCTCCCACCCTAGACATTCAACAGATATATAAACAACACTTGTCTAGTTTCCAACACACCCCACAACCTGTGAGGATGCCTGACACAAATGTGGACAAAACACCAGGAGAGAATGCTTCTGGAACATGGCCATAGAGCCTGGAAAACTCACAGCAACTCAACTCAGATTAATTTCTCTTCGAGAGAATGGTAAGAAAATAAAAACACTGATGGTTGTCATTCTTTAGGAAAGTAGTATACAAAAAAAACACAATAAGACTTGCTTCATTCTTCACACAAATAGACAGAACTTTATTTTCTTTAAATATGCCTTCTCATATTCTTGCTCAGGAGGATAACCGTACAGAATCATACAAGCAGAACTGTTTGAATTTGAGGACTTGCCACTTTGGGGAAGAGGGGGAACATGGTTTTAAAATACACTGAAGATATGGCTGCCTCCTCATGATTAAGGACTAAGAAAGCCCCACAACCTTCGCTTCTACCAACCAACTGGCATGAATTTTTCTCATGTGGCGATGATGTCCTTTTCAGGTTGGGGCTCAGTGTGCTGGCTTGCTAGGATAACACTGATATAGACTCTAAAAATCACCATGTTTTTAAGTATAAGGTGAGGCAATTTTTTTCTGAAGCACAAACAGGAATAGGTCAACACATGGAAATCCAACAGGGAGGAGGGCAGACAGCTCATGTCGATGTCACAATTTGATGAAACAACTTGGCATCAGCCTCTGAGTGAATGTTTCCTCAAAGGCTTCTAAAAGGTTTTTTATACAAGTTCCCCACCTCTTCATTTGATTCCATCATAGAATCATAGAGTTGAAAGAGACCTCATGGGCCATCTAGTCCAACCCCCTCCCAAGAAGCAGAAAAATCGCATTCAAGGCACCCGTTCTTTGTTTCCTGTTTTTTGAAGGCTAAAAGTATTTCAGCTAGTGGCACGCGCCTAGTGGTGCACACCAAGCAACAGTCTGGTCAAGGTTTAATACACGTGTGTCCAACTCAAGGACCATACACCAAATCTGATCTCCTGTGTCACTGTATATGGCCCTCCTCCAGATGCCGGACTACAACTCTTGTATTCCTCATCATTAGACATTATCATGGCTAGAACTGATGGGAGTTGGGATACAGGAATATTTGGGAGGCTGCACTTTGTTCTGTTGAGTCAGGAGAGAGAGATTTGCATTGAGATGCAAGGCTGGTGGAGATGATGCCTGACCTTAAAATTTGCCCAACTTCAGAGCCAAAATTTCTGTTGAGTTGCAATTCCCATCATTCCTGGTCCACATGGTGGATCATCAAAAGGGATGGGAGTTGTTACTCATCTGGGGACCAAACAGGGGAAAAACTAAAGGGCACCGACCACTATGTAAAAGAAATTACAATTGGTCCTTTCTCTGTATCCACAGATTCTCAGTCTGACAAAAATGATATATGGATTGAACTGAATTGTATGAAAGAAGTATAGTTGGGACTTACAGAAGCAAAAGATGCCATCCTAAGAAATGAAGCCTGGAAAACTACAAAAAGAAGTGAAGAATTCATGAAGTATAATTAAAAGTTGCTAAACTGCTGACATAGATGACCACTGACAAATGATTAAGTGTTGAACTCTTGGTGGAAAACACATGTTTCCATTACCAGAGACAATGACTCTTCTAAGTTAAAGAAGTGTTTACAAGAATTCCTTACTTAAGAAGGAAAACCAATTATCAGTTAAGGAAAAAAAGCCAACATCTGCGCAGGAACTGATGGAGTCAGCATGTTTTAGCAAGAAAACACCTGTCATTCATTTACAACTTTTGGAACAACATCAGCAGAAATATTTTATTGCCCAAAAATTGTGGCAGACCAGAGGATTCTGAATGGATAGAAGGAGATGGTGTATTCGCAGAATGGCAGATTTGCAGGGAATACAATCTGGCCTACTTCGGGATCTCTTTTCCAGAAGAAAGAAGAAGAGATGGCAATCTATGCATGATGAATGTTTATATGTGTGTGACTGTTGAGTGAAATGTAATACCCCCTTGTTTGTGTACCCAATGTAGCTATAGAGTCTGTGTGTCTACTTATTTTCTTTGTATTGCTCTGTGGTATACTTTGTCTCATTGTGAATGAAATAAAAGAACCCTTTTAATGTTTTTAATGTTTAAAAAGTATTCATGACACACCCATGGCTTCAGTGGCCCTTTGAAGGCAACCCTGAGGCTGATGTGGCTCTCAATGAAGTTGAGTTTAACAGCCCTCACCTCATACATGCATTTGTGGTGGGGAATATTTGGCCTTTCAGAAGTTCTTGAGTACAAGTCCCACAGTCCAGAACCATCTGACCAGATGACTGGCTCTTGCTGTACACAGATGTCCTGTACCATTTCATGTTTGCAGAGGGGAAGCAAGCCAATGATGCAGCTCATACACTCCAAACCTCTGAAAACCCCTGGAATTCTAGAGACAGACTGTAGCCTAGAATACCCCACTTTGGAAAAGAGACAGCTTGGCTTTAATGGGTTTCCATAAAAGTAGACCCATTGTAGCTTTTAATGGTAGTGTCCCAGGGATTCTTTGGCAGCATGAGGTTGGATTCATGCGACACAATGTCAATTCATGAGAGGAAGAGGAAAGAGATGGTTGCTTCCATTACATTCCACCCACACGTTCAATTCCAGACAGAAAAACACACAGCACATTTTAAAAAGTGTGTACACAGGCAAGAGACTGGATTTAGACATGACTGATTGTGCCCTACACTCTAATCCTAAAACAGTATTTTGGCATTCTATCCTATTTACTGCACATTCGTCAACAAAAAGACATGGGAACGGACACCTTCCAATACACTGATTCACAGGGATGTAGAGTTAAGGTTTAGTAAAGGCAACTGAAAAGCAACTCAGCATTTTCAGTTTGGGGTCTGCACTAGACAATGACACAGCAGGCCAAAAAGGAATCCTTATAATGTATCTGTGAAACACCTTTGGAACAGTCTCCACTGTCCTACACAGCAATGTCAAGACCATAAATGTGAATGTAGTGGCTGGTACAAATGGTGGGTCCATGGTCCTGAAACAAGTAAACAATGGGACTTATGAGTGAATGTTGACGGAGGCACGGAGGTTAACGCAACTGTTCTGTTACCAGTTGCTGTTGATTCCATGGTGTCCGTGTGCAAATATGTGGGTGATTTGTCTTGTGTATCTATCGCTGCTCAATAGTTGTTGGCAGCATTGTCACCGTCCTCCTCATGTCACCTCCAGGGACGCTGGCGAGACGCGGTCGCATTCGGCCCGCGACCGGAGACTGTGCCATTGCTCCACGGCGGTGCGATGGGAGCCGAGCATCCTTCGCCAGTGTTTGGATTCAGGTGAGCCAGTTGAGTATTGGCCAATCACGATCCGCCCAATGAAGTCATTGCTGCTTTTCACGTTGTGGCCGTAGACTGAAGAGAACAAATACCAATGAAAAATAAAGCTGAAACCAGGTGAAACGTGCAGTACAAAAACTGTTTGTGGCCATTGATTAGCCCTCAAACTGCAAGAAAACTTCCCTGTTGTTTTGAAGAAAAATACAAAGGCACATATAAATAAACAGAAGTGACGGAGATGTAGAAATCCTGCTAGAAAAAAGGATTTTGCAATTCCAAAATGTCATTGTTTTGGAATTGACATTTTGGAATTGCGAAATAACATGAGTAGGTTGGTCCTGGTGAAGGGGGCACAAACTAAGGGGAAGGGGAAGAGGGGAAAATTGTATAATACTAATTATAAAAAAGAAAACATGTATAAGTAGATAAAAGGTGTGTGGTAGAGGTATGCATAGTTTAAGTTGTAATGGAAAGTTTAAAAAAATGATAAGAAATATATTTAAAGATCTTTTTGATTTTTTTACTGTTACATTGTACATAATATGACATACTCTTCTGTCTAAGATGTTGTAAAAAGAGGAAAGAATGTATACTTATACATTTTGTTTGATAAATTTATAAATAACATTTTTAAAAAAGCAAAAAAGGATTCTGTATTAAAGGTGCCTACTAAAACAAATTGATATTTGGTACTGGATACATTTGTACTGAAACAGCAAGAATATCAGGCCCATTCGACACTGCCCCTATATTCCACAATCTGATCCCAGATTATCTTCTTATCACAGATTATCTGGCAGTGGATACTCATATTATCCAGTTTAAAGCAGATAATCTGGGATCAGATCCTGGGATATAGGGTGGTTTGGAAGGGGTCTCTGCGCTCTTCTACAAAGCTGAATAAAATCCACGTTATACACTTTGAACTGGATTTTATGGCAGTGTAGACTAAAATAATCCAGTTCAAATCAGATAATGTGGATGTTCTACTTTGATAACATGTATTATCTGGCAGTGTAGAAAAAGCCTCTGTTAGATCAATTGGTGGGCAATTTTTAGGGCTTTTTTAGGGCTTCTTTAATGGGTTTGAAGTTAAAATCATTATGTCATCTGCAAACAATTTTGTTTTATAAGTTTCTTTTTTATTGTTTGATCTTACATATTATTACTTGCTCTAATCTGTCTTTTCAAAACTTCCACTGCTAGAATAAAGAGCAGAGATGAAAGAGGGCATCCTTATCTTACTCCTTTTTTAATTTCATTTTTTTGTGTGGATAAAATCTTCATTCATTGTTATTTTTACTGTACACTTCAGGTATTTATTTATTTATGTATTTATGTATTTATTTATTTATTTATTTATTTACTATATTTCTATCCTGCTCTTTCTCACCCCGAAGGGGACTCAGAGTAGCTTACAGTTTGGCAATATTCAATACCACATACAGTGTTCTCTCACTACTTCATGGTTCGCTTTTAGCAGATTTGCTGTTTTGAGGGTTTTGGAAAATATTAATTAAAAATATTAAATATTAAATATTTACATCCAGTGGAGGCCAGGGACCCTGGAAGTGTGGCAGCCAGAGGCACAGCGGGGAAGGCCTGCCTCCCTGGCCTCCACAGACCCCAGAAGTTCAGTGGCCTGAGTTGTGGCAGAGAAGGCCTGCCTCCCTGACCTGCTGCTGCTTGCATGGTTCCAGAGGCTCTGCGGAGGCCAGGGAGGCAGGCAGGTGCCCTTGGGATGGGATGGGAGGTGGGTAAGGAAGCATGGGTAAGAAAATAATATATAAAATATATAAAATAATGTATACATATTAAAATTAATATGGTGTCCCTACTTTGCCGATTTTCATTTATTGCGGGTGGTCCTGGAATGGAACCCCCGCAATAAGTGAGGGAACACTGTATTCAAACAAATATACAATACAATGCATCATAAAACAATAAAACAGATAAAAACATATAAATACCACAAAACTATTAAAACATGATACCTAGGTCCTGGTACCTAGTCCACAGGTATTGCAGACTACAATTCCCAAAAGTCCCACCCAGGATTTCAGTCCAAAATGTTTGGAAAGTATCAGGTTGCCTTCCTCCTGAGCTGGACTTTTGAGAGAGAAAATATTCCCTGATGCTACTGAACACCAGATGTCTTAAGGGTTTAACTATGGTCCCTTCCACACAGCCTTATAAAGTCTGGATTATATGGCATTGAACTGGATTACATGGACTCATATAATCTAGTTCAAAGCAGATGTTGTGGATTATATGCCTTGATATTCTCGGTTATGTCGCTGTGTGGAAGAGCTGTATGATGGGCCCTTGTGCTTCAACATTTTCTAGTACACTCCTGCCTTGAATGATGTGCTGCCAGCAACAGGTCGATGTGCTGCATCAAAGATCCAAAGCAGCATCAAAGTTCTGTTTTGCTTTTAAAGAGCAAACGCTATTCTTCTAACCTTTCATTTTTCCAAATGCTGGCAACCTATGAGTCATCCGAGTGATAATTATCAGCGCGCTTGATCTACAGAGAAGCCATCAGGTGCAGACCAGGCAGAACTACAAAGCATTCATTTTCAGTCATTAGCGTGTTTGCGAAAACCCTTTTTGAGAAAGAGCCACGCAGGGCCATTAATGCGCCCTCCAGGGCCCATCACAGCACTCCAAGTGTTCCTCTGATATCTGCAGGACATTCTCCCTGGAGAAAGAGGTTTAGAGAGGCACAACGTGGTGTAGCACGCAATCCAAGGATGTGGGACAAATTCCTTCAGAACAATGAAAAGAACATCAGAGGGCTGCACATACGCACCCAGACATGACATTATCAGGCGAATATTATTTTTCACACTCCCCTACTGATGTCTTGGGACCTGCCCTGAAATCTGTGCTTTAACAAATACATCAGCAGCATGTTTATATAGCCAAAAATGGCAGCACTCAGCTATGCATTAGGAGGAAACTCCTGAGGACATTATTGAACATGATGAAAAGGCGCCTAAGAGAGCTTTTGGTTTGTTTCTTTCACCTCTGTCTCCTCTCACTGAAGCTGTAAAAGGGTGAAAGCTTTCGTCTTCCGTTTTGTTTAATCACATCTTGCATTGCCATCTGAACCTGATACTCTGTGGCTAACACTCAAAATGGATTTGTTGAAGCAAGCCAGCTTGAAAACACTATTTAACAACTTGGCTTCTTTAAAAAAAATAAGTGTAAGGATTGGGTTGCTGTAAGTTTTTCTGACTGTATGGCCATATTCCAGTAGCATCCATTCCTGAGGTTTCACCTGCATCTGTGGCTAATGGCATCCTCAGAGGTTTGTTCAGAGGTCTGTAATGCATATATATGATGTACAGTTTGAATTGAATTGTATGAAAAATGTATGGTTGAGGTCTATATAGTCTAGAGATGCCCTCCTAAGATTGAAGCCTGGAAAACTACAAGAGGTGAAGAATTCATGAACTGTAATTAAAAGTTACTACCCGGTGGTGCAGTGGATTAAACCATTGAGCTGCTGAACTTGCTGACCAAAAGGGCGGCAGTTCATATCTGGGAAGTGGGGTGAGATCCCGCTGTTAGCCCCAGCTTCTGCCAACCTAGCGGTTCAAAAACATGCAAATGTGAGCAGATCAACAGGTACTGCTTCGGTAGGAAGGTAATGGCACTCCATGCAGTCATGCCAGCCACATTGCACCACCACCTAGAGTTGGACACTAGACTTAATGTCAAGGGAAAACCTTTACCTTTTAAACTGCTGACATTGATGGCCAGTGACAAATGATTAATGTCTTTACATTATCAGAGACAATGGCTCTTTAAGCTAAGGAAATGTTTACAAGGTTCCTTATGTTAAGAAAGAAGTCAACACAAGGTTCCTTACGTTTACCAACACCCATTAAGAAAAGTCAACATCTGCCAAGAATTGTTCTGTAAAAGTTCTGATACTCTTTCTCATACTGGAAAATTGCAATAAACAGAACCTAGGCTTTAAAGTTGGATCCACACTGCCATATAATCCAGATTATCAAAGCAGATAATACAGATTGTATGATTTGAACCGGATTGTATAAACCTACACTATAATATAATCCAATTCAAATCAGATCATTGGGAGTATCTGTTTTGATCATCTGGATTATATGGCAGTGTAAATTCAGCCTGAAGTAGTAGAGAGAGACCTTGGAAGCACAGGGCACACCATGACGTGTCCACATAATGCTAAACTATGGCCCCATCTATGCTGCAATATAGAACTCAGATTATCTTCTTTGAACTGGATTATATGGCAGTGTAGACTCATATAATCCAGTTCAAAGCATATAACCTGAAACAAAAAGTCTTTGAATAACAGAAATATAAATGTCAATTATGACCACAAGTGCCAGCCTCGCCTTCAAAATCCCCCACCCAAAATAACGTGTTCTTTCCTTCATTCCAACACCATGCAAACTATCTGTATGCCAGCTTCCTAACATATGTTACCAAAGATTCTCTTTCCATGGAGAGTGTTTTCCCTTTTACATTATGTAAAACATTTCAAATAATTAACCGTTTAGCCTGTGTGATTCACTGGTACACTGCTTGCAATGTGCAACTTGCTCCCTACTTGAGATGTCAAGAACAGAAACAATTCACACTGATTCTTGTGGCTTCTCTTGATCTCTAGACAATAAATTACTATTGACACTGCCTAGAATCACAATGGCTTTCTTAGTGACCACACCACACTGTTGACCCATGTTCAGTTTATGATCGCTTTCTCATGCACTCTGGTTCAAAGCATGTGTCACTCATTCTCAATCTCTGAATTTCATTTTTTTAAAGTGTAGTACTGTACATTTCTCCTGGGTGCATTTATACTGTAGAATTAATGCAGTTTGGTGCCACTTTTCCTGCCATCACTCAATGTTATGGAAACATGGGAGTTATAGTCTGGTGAGGCACCAGCGCATTTATTATTATTATTATTATTATTATTATTATTATTATTTTATATATAACTCAATAAGCATGCCTTCTCTTCCCTCATTAATAAAAATGTTGAATGGCAAGAACCTAGTGAGACTTCTCTCCAGGGTGAAGAGGAGCCTTGTAAGCAGCCTTTGGGTTTGGCTGATCAACCAGTTACAAATCCATCAAAGGCTGGATCTATTCTGCCATATAATCCAAGCAATCTTGCCAGCCACACAATCAGGAGATGAGAATGCAGGCTCCTTGGCTTGAAAAATGGAAGAAAGCACCTTCCCAGAGCCAAAGATTAGCACTGCCTCCAGAAGCCGGAAATGAATGGAGAAGCCTCTGCCTTTGTTTGCATTTGTGTGTCTCATTGTATATGATTGTAAATGCATCGAATGTTTAGCTATGTATGTAAATGATGTAATCTGCTCTGAGTTCCCTAACGGAGTAGGGTGGAGCATAAATAAAGTGTATTACAGTGTTCCCTCACTTATTGCGAGTGTAACATTCCAGGACCACCCGCAATAAGTGAAAATCCGCGAAGTAGGGATGCTATATATATACCTCACATTCTGAGGGTGAGGCAGAAGCAAGGAGAGATTTAAAGGCACCTTGCACCTCTTTTTTTCTTTTTTCTTTTTTTGCTAGCTATAAGGAAGGGACTATAATGCAGTAATTTATATACTGCTCTATATCTCCTCTCTCTCTCTTTTTAAATGATTGGCTGCCTCTCTCCTGTGGGGGAGGATGAAACCCCCTTCTACACTCCATTGTTGCCAGGAGGCAAAAACCCGCAAAACAGCGAGTCTGCGAAAAACAAACCGTGAAGTAGCGAGGGAACACTGTATAACTATTGTTGTTGTTAGGTTCTTGTGGGTTTTTTCGGGCTATATGGCCATGTTCTAGAGGCATTTCTTCTGACGTTTCGCCTGCATCTATGGCAAGCATCCTCAGAGGTGAGGTCTGTTGGAACTGGGAAGGGGTTTATATATCTGTGGAATGACCAGGGTGAGACAAAGGACTTTTGTCAGTTGGGCTAGGTGTGAATATTTCAACTGACCACCTTGATTAGCATACAATGGTCTGACTGTGCCTGGAGCAAACTCTTCTTGAAAGGTAATTAGATGTCCCTGCCTGTTTCCTCTCTGCTGTTTTTGCTGTTGTTTTTTGCTGTTGTTGTATTGTTATTGTTGTTGTTATTAAAGCCAAGCATCAGATCTGAGATTACCTTATCCCAGATTATCTGGCAGTGTAGAATCATATAATCCACTTCAAATAATCTGGAATCAGATCTTGGGATATAGGGCACACTTTTTAGACATGCATCATTTTGCAACACAGTAATTCAGTTTGTCTAGCAAAACCCGAGCTTAACCCAGCCTTATAAGAGATATGGAGACACATACATAAATTGTAATGACAAAATGCATAGGGAAACAACATATCTCATTAAAATCATCATCATCATCATTATCTTTATTTATAGTCTTCCCTATCTTCCTTTTCATTTGTATTTTTAAATATATATGTTTGATTGCTTACTTCCTATAGACTCAGAGGTTTCTCATAACCTTCATGCGACACACTACAGCAGAAATACGAATGTGTCGCGACACAGTCCGGCATTGAGATTATTTTGCACACATGAGAGCTGATGCACTGGAGCTTATTTCTGATTAGACATACACAGAACTAAACTGTGCTTTGTATGAAATGTCCAAGATTTATATCTGCTCCTCCCGCACTCATGCTTTGGTTCTACCCCCGGCCTAAACACACTTGCAAGATCTTTCCAAAAATGGCATTTGGACAGGGTTCCTCCTCCTCTGCTCTAATCAAGATTGGGGTTTTGTGAACAATGAGGCCATCCAGTGGACTGCAAGTTATGGTCCCATAATTTCACACCTGACACAGTATAATATTCAAGATGGTGCAGAATGTTCTCATTAATTGCTTCCTTTCAAGAGAGGAGCATGTTTGCATCTGACGGGTGAGATCTGAATTGCTGATGAGCAACCAACAAATTGGTGATGAAATGTTTGGAAACAACTGAATGGATTCAATTGCACCTTCTCCTCACAAGCAGAATGCCTGTTTCTCTCATGTACAAAATGAAAACCACAGCATCATTTTTCAGCCTTCCATTGAAACAGAGACACTGAAGTGTTAAAAGAAAACAATGGGGAGAAAGGAAAAATATAAAGAAAGGGGAAGGGAAAATTCTACTATAGTCAATAGAGGCTCGGTCTGAACATCACACTGCAAATGCGATGCAGACTGAACTGCATGACGCAGTCATACAATCCAGTTCCATGCACTTAAAACTGCATTATATGAGTCCACACTGACCATATAATGCAGTTCCAAACTGCCTTATATGGCAGTGTGGATGGGGCTTTATTGTGTTGTAATTTCTCCGTTCCACCTCCAACCCAGATTAGTGCTGAATCCTTGCAAAACCTTGAAATGAAAGGTATACACCTGCTGCCTTGTTTGTAGGCACATTCAGGCTTCGAGACGCTTGCTACTGAGGCCAGTAGCAAGCGTCTCAAAGCATGAATGTGCCTGCAAACAAGGCAGAAGGTGTATACGATTTGGATTATCAAAAAGACAAAGGTCGTGTCAAATCAATGGTACTTTTTCACAGAGGACTTCATAGCTGCATGCAACATGAAGGAGGCTGGTTCTCCACCCGCACATTAAACCACAGGAGTGTTTTATACCCACGGCTTGATGCGATGTCTGACTTGAGCTGACTAAGAATGGAGAGAGAAAATTGAATCTTAAAAGTTGTGTGTCCAGTTAGATTATCCTTCACTTGGAAATGAAACCTGGAAGTGAGTTCCAACAGGACTATTGCACCATGAAGGTTGAGCAGACCAAGAGTCACAGAACGTATTGGAGATCGGGAGCAGAAACTGTCAGGAGTGCAAAGGCCTCCTCGGACCCCCATCTACATTGTCCAGTTTCTGATCCCAGATTATCTGTTTTGAACTGGATTATATGGCAGTGTAGATCCATATAATCCCATTCAAAGCAAATAATCTGAGATTAGATCCTAGGATGTAGGGTAGTGTAGATATTAAGCAACATGGGAGATAGTATTGAGCCCTGCAGTTGATTATTATTATTATTATTATTATTATTATTATTATTATTATTTATATATACTTTTCTGCCTCACCACAGGATGCCTTCACATATACCATGGCACAGAAGAAGGGGGAAAGTTCTTTTTAATGGACTATGTAGACAGGGATTTATTGGATAAGCATGATCCGGCAAAAGAGACTGGAGAACTTACCTGTGAAGACCAAGCTGGCATTTTCAAGTTCTTCTTGTGGGACTTTGAAGCTGAAGGACTCATTGTAGAACGGATCAATGGTGGCCTTCATGCAAGAGGTCTTCTTGGTCTTGGCCAATTTTAATCCATGAACAAGCTGGATTTTCACAAAGGGATCTGGAGAGGAAATTAGCACAAAGACAGCTACTAAAGAAGCTCTATTCCAAACCAATCTAAGCCCCATCTAGAATTTATTTATTTATTTATTTCAGACATTTATATCCTGTCTTATCTCGATCTCCTCAGAGGGACTCCGGGCAGCTGACAACAAAAGCATAAATATACATCTATGGTAAAAACAGTATAAAACATTATAAAAACATCATAAAAACAGTAAAACATTAGAAAAATCGCCAGAATTAAATTGTCATCCTACACACAGTCCATTCGAGTCCATCAGAGTCCATTAAACCATAGCTCTACCATCACATCGATCTAGTCCGCAAAGGCCTGATCCCACAGCCAGGATTTCACCTTTTTCTGGAAGGTCAGGAGGGAAGGAGTGGATCTGATTTCACTTGGGAGGGAATTCCATAGCTGAGGGGCCACCCCATAGAAGGCCCTGTCTCTTGTCCCCACCAGCCCCGATATAAAATGCAATAAAATGCAATATAAAACTTAGATGTTCTGCTGTGAACTGGATATATGGCAATGTACTGGATTATATGAGTCTACACTGCCAGATAATCCAGTTTAAAGCAGATACTCTGAGTTTTATATAGCAATGTAGAAGGTGCCTCCTTTGCAGATTTGCTTCCCTTTCTCTGGAGATTCTGCTTTGTTTTGACTCTGTGTAGATGGCTTCCTACTTTCTATGCCTTTGCTTTGCTCCTTTGCCTAAATGTAACCTAACTTGGAGCTGCATCCTGGAGTGAAAGACACCTTTGTGTGGGGCAAAACATGGCCTTAATGTTATCTATGGGGAGTTCAACAGAAGAGTCCCCATGTGCTCAAAGTGATGAGTTTGTGCCTCATGTGCAATGAGACCATTTCTTTGTCGGCAGAAGGGAGGGGCTTTTGAAGGAAAATTCCAATGTGTTCTTAAAAAGAGTCTTGTCTTTTTCCAAGATTGCCAGAGATCCAGGATCCCATTCCCTACCATAATGCCTCACACCATGTGTGGCGGCAAGGGGTGCTCCCTCCCTAAAACATGCTTGGAAGTCATATGGATTGAGCATAATCCACAGCAGGGCTTGGAAGCAAATCTTCTTCCAACTTCATCCAGTCCTCTGCCCTGATCCTGGGAGAACATTGCAGCCTGCCTGGGGCTGGTTCTACACTGTCATATAATCCAGATTATCAAATCAAATACTCATCCAGACTGTCTGCTCTGAACTGGATTATAGGAGTCTACACTACCATATAATCCGGTTCATACCAGATTATCTGGATTTTATAGGGCACTCTAAGGCCCCTTCTACAGTGCCCTATAAAATACAGATGATGTGATTTGAACTGGATTATAGGGCAGTGTAGACTCATATAACCCAGTTCAAATCAGAAAATCTGGATTATAGAGAGATGCAGATCCAGCCTGAGGCATGGCTGTGGGAAACCTTGCGTAAATGCTGAAGAATATTAAGAAAAATTTCCACACAGAGCCCTTCTTTTTGTATCAGAGAAAGCGAGAAAAATGTTCTCAGGTAAAACATATTCTCAGAAATGTCAGCTCAGCTCTGTTTGGTGTTTGGAAGCTGCCACGTTCCATGCATTCATGGAAGCATTTGATGACTCACTCCTGATTCTCATCAGCAGAGATCAAAACGTACACAGCGGACTTTCAACTAGGTAAAAATTCAAGGCCAGCCTGAATGACAGAAAGACACATACACTGATCCCTTGGATAGCAAGCAAATGCTACTCAACAGAAGCAACAGCTGAAGGGGGAGAGCAGGAAATATTATTGCAATGGAGGGACGCAGCATCAGCACTACTGAAGAAATACAGTTTGATAACACGTTAACTGCCATGGCTCAATGCTATAGAATCACAGGGAATATAGTTGGCTGAGGCACCAACATGGACATGGAACCCTACACCTGTCTGATGTGGCCCTTAGTGAGTCCTACATCCGTCTGATGAGGTCCTTAGTGAGCCCTACACCTTTCTGATGAGATGCTTAGTGATCCCTACAGCTGTCTGATGAGGTCCTTAGTGAGCCCTACATCCATCTGATGAGGTCTTTAGTGATCTCTACACCTTTCTGATGAGGTTCTTAATGAGCCCTACACCCATCTGATGAGGTCCTTAGTGAGCCCTACGCCTATCTGATGGGCTTTTTAGTGATCCCTACACCTGTTTAATGAGGTCCTTAGTGATTCCTACACCCATCTGATTAGGTCCTTAGTGAGCCCTGCACCTGTCTTTGGAGTTACCCAACTCCAAACAGCCAGAAGAAGGGAGGAAGCGAGGGAAATACGACCATCAATGCAGTCAGGATGTGGGTTGGCTTGCCATCCCTCATGACTGGGAAAGATGAGAGGGGACAGGGCAAGACAGTTCCATACACTTCCCCCTCTTTCCTTCATTTCCCCCTGGTTCCATCTGATGAAGACTTATATCTCAGACTGTGCCCATGGTCAATTAAAATCCACACCCTTCTCTAACAACATAGGGTCCCAAAAGGTACCGCTTTAACTTTGCACACTTCTTCCCATGTGCTGCACACTTGTAACTCTGCTCAGTTATACACAGTGCGACATAGACAATGCGTGCCCATCATTCAGAACAAAGCACAAGTGGGTACCTGAACCTTGGCTCATATCCGTCTGAAGCAGCTGCTTGGCTCTAATGATGTCTACGTTCAGTCTTCCTGCGCTAGGAAGGTAATTCAAGGACAGCAGGAGTTCACCCAGCTCAACTTCATTCTACAAAAGAAACATACCAAGCAAATGCTACAACAACAGGGTGTGTTAACCAAGAGGAAAGTGTGGTAAACAAACATGTGTCTCCAAGAACCAAACATTACCTTAAAGTTAAAAATTGAAAATACAACTAGATAGTCATCCTTTGAGGATATCTGCTTTTCTGACTCGTGTTTGCCATGATGTTATCTCAGGTGCCTTCTAAACTGCTATTTAATATCCATCTTATCTGCTTTGAACTGAATTATATGGCGGTGTAGACTCATATAATTGAGTCCAAAGCAGATCATGTGGATTATCTGCTTTGATTATCTGGATTATATAGCAGTGTAGAAGGGGCCTCAGTCACCACAACATTTAACTACAATTTGGGCTAAATCAAATGTTCTTTGCTGTTGACTGTTGGAAGGCAGCCAAGCCATCTTAGGGACTTGGATGTGTTTTCATTTAGCAGTGCACATTAGGACCGTGCCTCCAAGTGAATACAACCCATCCCTCCCAATATCTTCTGGTCAAACTTTTTTAAAAAACCCATCATCACACAAAACGGTCTGAGTATGCAGCTGCTTCAATGCCTGGATGGGAACTATTTGAGAAACCTATTGTGCCCATGGCAGGGGAAGGAAAGAGGGAGGTAACTGCAAGAAATTAAATTAAAATAAGGGGCTGCGGTGGCGCAACAGGTTAAACTGCTGAGCTGCTGAAGTTGCTGACTGGAAGACCGGTGGTTTGAATCCACAGAACAGGGTGAACGTTTAGCCCAAGCTCCTGCCAACCTAGCAGTTCGAAAACATGCAAATGTGAGTAGATCAACAGGTATCACCTCGGCAAGAAGGTAAATAGTGCTCCATGCAGTCATGCTGGCCACATGACCTAGGAGGTGTCTACGGTCAATGCAGGCTCTTTCCAGAACTACTCCTCAGTGCAGGCTCTTCCCAGAGCACTACTCCTCAGTGCCAGAAGGGGAAGCCTTTACCTTTATCTGTGTATCTGTGTCTCCAGGCATTGAATGTTTGCATTGTGTCTATATGCAGAGATCCGCCCTGAGTCCCCTTGGGTAGATAGGGTGGACTACAAATAAAGTGTTGTTGTTGATCTTGTTGTTGAATTAAATTAAAGTAACTTCCCATGCCTGGACCTTTTCTGCCATGAGGGAAAAGGCAAGGGGCATGGAATCCCAGAACAGCCCCAGAAGGACCCAACCCATATGTCCATCCACTTCCAGGGAAGTGATGGCACGATCGCCAGCACAGATGAAACTCTCTGTCCCTTCTGGCTGTAGCTGGTTATTGTGTAAATGTTAAACATTGATGGAGCAAACTCGCTCCCCTGAGGCAGGTCGTTCTTCTGTTTTCGCCTGTTTCTCTGGCCTTGGAACTCAACAAGAAAGCTCCTGTTTTGTAGCAGATTTCCTATGAATCCCACTGGAGCATTGCAGTGCACCAAAATACCTGGGAGTTACCCTGGACTGTGCTCTGACTTACAGGAAGGACTGCTTGACTATCAAGTAAAAAGTGGGTGCTAGAAATAATATCATACAAAAGCTGACTGGCACAAAACCAGACACAGTGAAGACATCAGCGTTTCACTTCTCTGCTGCTGAATACACATGCCCATCTACAACACATATCACCATGTTAAAACAGTAGGTGTGGACATGCCGCATTATCACAGGATGCCTATGCCCTACACCACTGGAGAAACTACACTGTTTAGCAGGTATCACACCACCTGACATATGCTGGAAAGTAGCAGCTGGCAATGAAAGGACCAAGGCAGTGACATCTCTGCCCCACCCTCTGTTCCAATATCAGTCAGCATGCCAATGTATTAAATCAAGAAATAACTTTCTAAGATCTACAGAGATACTCACAGGAACACCTCAGCAAGTGAGAGTCCAAAAGTGGCAGGTTAACACTCGGAACCTCAGTCAGTGACTGATACCGAATGAGAGACTCCCTCTTGGGCACACAGAAGATAGGATGACTTGGAAGGCACTGAACAGACTGCACTCTGGCACCATGAGATGCAGAGTCAATCTTCAGAAATGGGGCTACGAAGTGGAGTCCATGACATACGAATGAGGAGAAGAGCAAACCACAGACAATCTATTACAATGCAGTCTGAGCCCTGCCACATGCACAATGGAGAACCTTCTTATAGCAACACCCCAGGCACTCCAAGTGGCTAGCTGCTAATCAAAGGCCATTTAGTATAATGCCAAGTTTTTAACTTTGTGTTTTTAAATACATTACAACTGTACCCTCAATTCGCTTCTGACACGATAAATAAAAGCACGAATCTGGCTTGGTGGTGGATGGTATAAAACGCCAAAACAACAAAGGCTGGATCTGCTGCCATATAAAATCCAGATTATCTGTTTTGAACTGAATTATATGGCAGTGTAGATGCAGCCTATATGGCCTATATGGTAGTATTAAAGCCCAGTCTAGCTGATTTGCCTGTCTTTGCTCAGACTTGCCAGTCTCAATGGTCATAGACTCAGAATCATAGAGTTATCAGTCCACAAGGGCCATCCGATCCAATCTTTTTTCTGCCATATAGGAATGCATAGTAAAAGAACTCATGAGAGATGGACATCCAGTCTAAGTTTTAAAACCTCCAGAAAAGGAGACTCAATCACATGCCCAGACAGAGGATTCATTTCCCTGTCAAACAGTTCATACCATCAGGAAGTTCTTAATGTTTAGGTGGAATTTATTTTCTTGCAATATGAATCCATTTCTCCATACTAGTCTCTGGAGCAGAGAAAACAACCTGGCACCACCTTCAATAGGATTTCCTTTCCAATATTTGTCAGGTATGTGTTCTGTGATCTCCTCTGAGTCCCTTTTGGGGTGGGAAGGGCAGAATATAAATAATATAAATAAACTGCTCCTCATAGGGATACTGGACTTCCTGGCCTTTGATCATTTTGGTCATCATTCCAGATTGCCAATATTAAGTAAGCAGACCATTATCACACCAAGATATCAAGAAAGATTACCTGAGAACTGGGGATCAGAGCCTTCCACCAATGCCCACCTTTGACGAGGTCGACATCGCTCAAGGGCATCGACACTTTCCCAATAACGCAGTGGCGTGAAAACTTGTCAAAATCCACGATGGTCAAGAGCAAAGTCCTCCTCTGGGCTTCCAAAAATGGGATGTCAAAGGTGTACCTTTCCTCAAACACTGGGTTCTGGGTTTTCCGCTTCACCCCGGTCTGCTTGGAATTTTTCTGGTCCGGCAGGAGGCAAATTTTGACATAGGGATTCGAATGCGCCATGTCCTGCCGGGAACCATCGTAGGAGATTGGGGGAGGCAGGTCCTTGGCCTCAATCACCCGGACAATGAGGTAATTGTGCAAGAGGTCATACTGTGTGCTGAAGTGCAGCATGCCCAGCTGGTACTTGGCCAGGATTTCCTCATCTGTCAAGGAATCCATGTCATCGCTATTGGAGTCAAGGGAATACAGTCTTGGTTCAAATTTCCTAAAATAGTCATCAGGAGCATAGCTTTTCCTCAGGATGCTTGGCTGGACAACTTCTTTCTTGGCTCCTAAAATCCCAAACTCAATCGGTTTGATGTCAATGAGGGGAGAACTCGGCCGCCTCACCTCAAGGCCTCCAGAAAGAAAACAAAGGGCAAGAGTTGATAAATAGCACGAGATTACGTTGGTTTGGTTATTTAAAATGTTTATACTCCACCCAAGTCGAAATGGTCTTAGGGAGATACAGGGATACCTTGACTTAAGAGTTTAGTTCATTCTGTGACTGAGTTCTTAACTCAAAATGCTCTTATCTAAAAGCAAATTTTCCCACTGAAATGCTATTAATCCATTCTGCCCCACTCAGAACCCCCTCATTTTTTGTTACATGTTTTTAAATAGGAAAATGTACTTTATTAACAACAAATAATGTATAAATGCACATTTACATGGAATAATAACAAAAAGAAAGATCAACTTTAAAATGGTAGAAGCACAAAGTTGTGGCAAAGAAGCCCAAAGCAGCACAAAGCGAAGAGGCAGAAGCATCCTTTTCTTCTTCCTCCTGTCCTCATTCCCGACTCTTTCTCTCCCTCCCTTGCTCTCTTTCTCTCCCTCTCTCTTCAAGAAGCCAAAGATATTGTATGTTTTAAGGCACAATGGAGGTGTGATTGTAAGCTGCCTTGAGTCCCCCTCGAGGTAGAGAAAAGGAGGATTTAAATAAGGTAAATGAAGGGATAAAAATAAATCACACAAAACCAACCAACATAAAGTTCCTCAAAGTGGATGAGAGCAAAGCAAACTGCAATCTTCCAAAGCGGACAAGAGCATGAGGCTCAGAGGCTGCTCCCTTGAAGCCCCAAATCCCTGCACTCTTGTGTTAGCACTCCCCCTGGAGTTCACTCTTAACTCAAAGCACTACTCATATATCAAAGCAAACCTAGGCTGAATGACAGCTCTTAACTCAGAACACTCTTAGGCAGAGATGATAACAACAACAACAACAACAACAACAACTTAATTTTTATACCCCACCACCATCTCCCCGAAGGGACTCAGGGCAGCTTACAAGGAGGCAAGCCTGAAAATGCATATTAAAACGTACACAATAAAATGAAATGAAACAAAATAAAATCAACAACTGCATCAGAAAAAAACAGTACAATCACAGTGCACATTTTAAAAACAGTATAATGTCTGAAAGATTAGGTGCTGAGTGTGGAAGGATCAGGAAATGTGCAATCATTCCTAGATAGAGCCCAGGGAAAGTGAAAAATACGATTCAATTCAGTTCAGCTCACAGCTGGGAGAGCAATATTCTTAGGCATTTACAGTAACAGGATTACAGGTGGGAGGCTCCACTCTATAGGGTTAAAAAACAAAATAGGAACATATGGCCTTGAAGGAATGAACCTGGATATTCCCAACTGTCTTACTTGGTTGTCTTAGATTACTGTGGCTGCACTTTGGATGACTGTTGACACCATGCTGAATTGTGTGTCGGGACTTCTGACCTGCTGATACAATTTCTGGACTGGCCATCTACCATCTTCATGCTCTCTCTGCATTTGCTCAGAGAACCATTGAATGACCTGAACTGAACTAACTCCTCAACAGCATCTACACATCTGCTTCCTTGGGTCCTTGCTGACTCAAATTCAGCAAAACTACACTGCCATGGCTCATGGCCCGCAATCTAGGAGGCTGAGTGACCCCACTGCCCCAATGTCAACCAGATACACAGCAGCAGCCATACTTGAAATCCTTCTTGTCAGGCTGTAAGTGGATCGAGACGTATCTGAAGAGGATCGTCTTCTATCTGGTGAATCGTCCTGAGGAGTCACAGGAGGTTCGCTAGCTGTTGTGTTGTCAGAGTCACCGTCTTTGTCCTCACTTCTGTTGCTTATCCTGTTGGAAAGAAATTAACAAAAGATTTCACAGTCATCTAGGAAAACCATCGCAATGATTTGTTGTTTTGTCCTGTGAGGAGCAAGATTTACTGCAACTCTGCTTGTCTCCCCAATATTTCTTATTATCTCTCCTTACCCTACTGTAATTCAAGCTCTGTTTAATTTCATAAACATCGAAACAAAGCAATGGCTGCAGAGAATTCTCATTGTAATTGCTTTCTAATTGTGCTTCCATTCAGCCATCTGTGTGTCTGTGGCTCCATTTGTTTACAGCCTGATCAGCTGTTTCAGGATTTTAAAATACGCATATGTGCTGGAGCAATCCACACCGGTATATCAGAATGAAATCATGTGTTTTTCTTTGGTGCAGAGATATATAGTCATGCGAATATGCACAGTTTTTTGGTCCAAATTGGGTTTTAAGTGCACCTTTTAAACACGTGTTTTTAGCTGTTAATCCGAATCAGTGCATATTTTCCTTTAACATCATTTAGCCACACACACCCCTTTTATCTTGGTTCCTTCTGTGTTTTAGGGCCTGTGTAGGTGGGCCCTAGCTCATCTCGAACTCTGTTCTTTGCTGTCTTTTATCTAACTAAGTCATATCTCTAACTGAATTCAATTCTTATCTCTGACTTTGACTTGCACCTCTCACTGACAGTTGCCATACATGCCACTTGTTCAAAATCCCACTCAAAAACTCAGCCAACCACCCCATGCCATCCTCCTTTCCCTAATATGGTACTCACCTTATTAATATACTATGCATCACATACATAACCATGCCTTACCTTGATTTCTGAAATAAACACAAGTTTGTTTGTTCGTTTTTTTAAAAAAGTCTGGAACATCACATTTCCATAACTGGATTAACCAGCATGGAAACCAATGGATCTCCGTGGCTTTTCTCCGTCCCTCAACATTTACACTGCAAGTCTGTAGGGAAGCCCTTTGTTTTATTTTAATCACTGCAAACCCCCCAGTTCCATAAATATTAATACGACTGCCTTTGCTAATCTGTCTGCCTTCTCCACATGAAGCATTTTGCATTCACAGTCAAGTAGGGTACACCTGAAAGTCAAAATGAAAGAGACAATAATAAATGACCTTCATTGAATTTTTAAAATGCTTTTACATAGACTCATAGAATCCTATAATTGGAAGAGACCTCGTGTACCATCCAGTCCAACCCCTTTCTGCCAAGAAGCAGGAAAATCACATTCAAAGCCCTGCCTCACCCCCCGACAGATGGCCACCCAGCCTCTTTTCAAAAGCCTCCAAAGAAGGAGCAAGCCTCCACACTCCACACTCCGGGCAAGAGAGTTCCACCGCTGAACAGCTCTCACAGTTAGGAAGTTATTTCTCATGTGCAGGTGAAATTTCCTTTCCTGTAGTTTGAAGCCATTGTTTTGCGTCCTAGTCTCCAGTGCAAGAGAAAACAAGCTTGCTCCCTCTTTCCTATGACTTCCTCGTTTTCACATCTTGATAAATAGCCCTCATCATGTCTCCTCTCAGCCTTCTCTTCTGCAGGCTAAACATGCCCAGCTTCTTAAGCCACTCCTCATAGGGCTTGTTCTCCAGACTTTTGATTCTTTGAGTCATCCTCCTCTGGACACATTCCAGCTTAGAGTCAACGTCTCCCTTCAATTGTGGTGCCCAGAACTGGACACAGCATGATTCCATGTGTGGTCTGACTAAGGCGGAAGAGAGGGGTAGCATAACTTCCCTGGATCTAGGCATTAGATTTTTATTTATGTCGGCCAAAATCCCATTGGCTTTTAAAGCTGCCGCTTGACATTGTTGGCTCATGTTCACCTTCCTGTCCACAAGGACTCCAAGATCATTTTCACACATACTGCTATCGAGTCAGGCACCCCCCCCCCAATTCTGTATCTTTGCATTTCATTTTTTCTGCCTAAGTGGAGTATCTTGCATTTGTCTCTATTGAACTTCATTTTATTAGTTTTGGCCCATCATCTCTCTAATCTGTTAAGATCAGTTTGAATTCTGCTCCTGTCTTCTGGGGTTTTGGCTCCCATCTGCTAGCTTGATGATCATATCTTTGAACCCTTCATCTAAGTCATTAATAAAGAGGTTGAAGAGAACCGGTCCCAGGACGGACCCCTGTTTAAGGCACTCCACTCGTCACTTCTTTCCAGGATGACGAGGAAGCATTGTGTCAATCACCCTTTGGGTTCGTTCACTTAACCAATTACAGATCCACCTAACCATAGTTTTGCCTAGCCCACATTGGACTAGTTTCCTTGCCAGAAGGTCATGGGGAACCTTGTCCAAGGAAGACCTTCCTGAAATCCAGATATGCTCCATCCACGGCGTTCCCTGCATCTAACCAGATTGTGACTCTATCCAAAAAAGAGATCAGATTTGTCTGGCATGACTTGTTTTTGATACATCCATGTTGACTATTAGCAATGATATCATTCGTTTCTAAGTGTTTGCAGACCACGTCCTTAATGATCTTTTCTATAATCTTCCCTGGTATCGATGTGAGGCTGATTGGACAGGAACTGTTTGGGTCGTCCTTTTTCCCTTTCTTAAAGAGATAGGGACCACCTTTGCCCTCTTTCAATCTGCTGAGACTTGTCCCGTTCTCCAAGAACTCCCAAAGATTATTGCCAGTGGTTCCGAAATGACTTCTGCTAGTTCCTTCAATACATGAAGCCTCGCCACTTCCAGACCTTTTCTTGCACAAAGAAAGATCACTGCTCTTTCTTGCTGAAGGCACCTTTAAGTTGCATTTTTGTGGCATTAACAGTCACACTCATTACACAGATCTGCACCTTTGTCTCAGGCCGATTTTGGGGTGCAGCAACCAAATTCGTTAAAGAAAAGTGAGGGGAAAACCTGCCCATCTTGGGAGTCGAGACATCAAATCCTAAGCTTGGGTATAAAGAAAGTGTGCAGAAAAAGCAGGGCTAACAGGCTGCTAGGAATTATGGGAGTTGAAGTCCAAAACATCTTGAGGGCCCAAGTTTGCCCATGCCTGCTGTAAAGTTTTCAGCTCCGGTTGCTTCTCACAGGATTCACAAATTTTTTGGCTTAAAATCCTGCACAATATGCTAAGATGGCAACCGTGTTAATAAGAAAACACTCCAACTGAGTGGGAAGCCCATGCTGGAGCCAAGAAAAATCATTTTAAAATATGTCAACGAACAAAGAGGATAACAAGTCAAACCAAAGAAATGAGTGATTGCCTTTCATCAAGTATTACTATTACTTTTCTCTTCTCTATCTTGGTTCTGTTTAAATCATTTTCCTGAATTTAATATTTGTTTATTTGGAATGACTCGGAAGAAAACCAAGCTACGCTTTCACAGGAAGCATTTGCTTTTCACTTTTCACATTTTGTAATCCGTAAAGCCGAAAAGCCCCTGCTAGTCTTGGGAAAAAAGAAAATTAATAATATCTTTTTACTCAACAATTCAGGAAAACAAATATTAGATGGGAAATGACAGGAAGGTGTTGTTGCCATGTGTGCTAAGTCAACATAATTAGATTTGCCATAGGAAGAACCGACACATTGTCAGTGTTGTACGATGAGATAAAAAACAAAAACAAAACATCATTACATTCTTCTCTGAGGTTGGAGACAAAATTATTCATCCGCACTTGGGCCCAACATCAGTTCTCTGTGTTCTGGGATAGGATGAAACTTTGATTGTTCAAGGCAGAAAGTCACCAAGAGCATCAATGGATAGAAAAATAAAGTCAACTGGGGAAGGAGCTTATAATAGCACAGGGGCCAACTTTTCATCTAATAAGCTAGGAACTAAAGGATGAGGATGAGGAAGATTAATTTCAGATTTGATTTTAAATTTTTTCTAATCTTTTAAGAAACTCAAAATCAAGTTTGGAATTAATCCCTCCTTCTCCTTTTCTTTCTCTTCTTTTTCCTCTTCCTCCTTCTCTACTTTATCTTCCTCCATCTCTTCCTTTTCCTCTTCCTCCTCCTTCCCTTTCTACTACTACTTCTACTTCTTCTTCCTCCTTCTTTTTCTTTTCCTCTTCCTCCTCCCCATATCTGATCTTACTTCCTCTCTTACTTTTCATCTGCCTCTTCCTCCTCCTCTTCCTCCATGTCTTCCTTTGCCTTTTCCTCCTCCTCCTCCCCTTTCTACTACTTTCTCCTCCTTTTTCTTTTCTTCCTCCTCCTCCCCTTTTACTATTTCTTCTTCCCATATTTGGTCTTCCTTCCTCTCTTGCTTTTCCTCTTCCTCCTCTTCTTCTTCCTCCCTCTCTTACTTTTCCTCCTCCTCCTCCTCCCCTTTCTACTACTTCTTCTAATTCTTCCTTCTCTTTCTTTTCCTCTTCCTCTTCTTCCTCCTTCTATTCCTTTTCCTCCCCCTCCCCCTCTACTATTTATTCATCTTCCTCCCCATATTTCACCTTCCTCCCTCTCGTATTTTTCCTCTTCCTCCTCCTCCCCCTTCTACTACTTCTTCCTTCTCTTTCTTTTCTTCCTCCTTTTCTTCTTTCTCTTTTTCTTCCTCCCCTTCTACTACTTCTTCTTCCTCCTCCTCCCCTTTCTACTTCTTCTTCTAATTCTTCTTCCTCCTCTTCTTCTTCTTCCTCTTTCTCCTTCTTCCTTCTCTTCCTTTTCCTCCTTCTCCCCCCTTCTACTACTACTTCTTCCTCCACCTCCTCTTTTTCTTCTACTTCTTTCTCCTCTTCCTTTTCTCACTCTCTCTCTCCCTTTGGCTTATGAGATCCATGCATTCCCTTCATCTTTTTTTATTACCATTCCTAAGACAGGAGAAGATGCAACATGTTCCAAATTCATCTCCAGTCTGGTTTTTCATTGCTAGGAGAATGAATAGAACTCTCTCATCTTGGATAGTTTCCACCATAACCTTACGATTACGGGATTATATATTTAAATGACATTTTTGTTTTTATCTATTCCTTGGATTGTCACAACATGAAGTCATCGCCAAACAGATGCTCTCACAATAAACTGCATTTTTCCATTCAGTCTTGAGTGTGGCACCTGAACTGTCCCTTCAATCTACCTCAATATTACCTTCTGGTAAAGCTCAATAGCTCCCCTAGAAAAGAGGCGCGAGGGGGGGGGGTGAAGCCTGGCGAGTAAACAAGACGTTCCCAAAGTGATCCCTAAGAAACATGAAATGAAGCAGACAAATAGGATGGGAAAAGCATCCTCTGAACTTACAACCAGGGAGGTGTCTGCCCTGGAAAAGGCCCCAGGATTTCCACTTCGTCTTCGTTTGACTGGCAACAGCTGCAGTCATAACACTTCTGGCAACAATTCCGGCAAGTCCATCTGCACAGTAAGAGATCGGAGATTCTAGACAAAAGGCCCTGAGGCCGTTGGAAACCAGAAAGCAAAAATTACAACCCGTTGGTTACCGGCAGACATAAACACACTTGTTATTTATGTGTCAAGCTCAGATTGCAAGTGCCTGTGTGTGTGAGAGAGAGAGAGTATGAATGGCTCTACTAGCCCCTATTGCAAAAGGATCTGGGGTTCAGTTATTAGCTGTCTTAGTGGAAACTGGAAAGGAGGAAAGGATCCACTTTGTGAGCTGTGGATTGATTACATTGTGGATCAGGCCCGGCTCAACTTGGGCTCTCCCTCCAGGTGTTTTCGACTTCAACTCCCACAATTCCTTACAGCTTCAGGCCCCTTCCTTTTGATTAAATGGCTGGGGGGGGGGGGGGAAAGGGCCTGAGGCTTTTAGGAATTGTGTGAGTAGAAGTGTGCCTGCTTGGGTTTTGAGATCATCAGGGCAGATTCGTATCTTTGTTCTGCCAATCCCATGGGCCCAATGCATGAGGACACGAAAGATAGCCAACCTTGTAGCGGATCCCAATTGTAAAGCCGCCTTGCAAGAGAGGTGGGTTGCTCCCTTTCCTTCCACCAGCCAACAAAGATCTTTCTATATGGGCAGATTATTAGTAACTACTAGCTGATGTGTTTTGATATACATTTGTTTATCTCACTGTGTTTTAGTTGTCTTTGTTTTTAATTCTGCATAGTGCTTTGGGAGAAAAGGAAGGGGAGGGAAGGGAAAGAAGAAGGGAAGGGAAGGAAAGGAAGAGAAGGAGAGAAGGAAGGAGGAAAGAGAAGGAAACAGGGAAGGAAGAAGGGAGGAAGGAAGGGGAAAAAAGGAGGGAAGGAGGGAAGGAAAGAGGAAGGGAGGGAAGGAGGGAGGGAGGAAAGGAAGGGAAGGAGGAGAGAAAGGGGGGAAGAAAGAAGGAGGGGAAGGGAAGGGAGGAAAAGGGAAGGAAGGGAAGGAGAGGAGGGAGAAAAGGGGGAAGGAAGGGGAAGAAGGAAGGAAGGAAGGAAGAGAGGAGGGAAGAAGGGAAGAAAGAGAAAGGGAAGGAAGGAGGGAAGGGAAGGAAGGAGGGAAGGAGGAGAAAGGGAGGAAGGAAAGAGGGGTGGGGAAGGGAAAGAAGAGAAGGGAATGGAAGAGAAGGGAAGTGAAGGGAAGGGAAAGGGAAAGGAGAGAAGAGGGAAAGGAAGGAGAAGGAAGAAGGAAAGGAGGAAAGGGGAAGGGAAAGAAGAAAGGAGGAAAGGAAGAAGAGAGAAGGAGGAGGGAAGGGGGGAAGGAGGGAGGGAAGGAAGGGAGGGCAGGAGGGAGGAAATGTTATATTATTTACTGTATTTTTTTGTTTTGCTGAAAGACACCCCAAGTCCCTTTGGGGAGAAGGGGCTGGATACAAATAAAGCTTATTATTATTATTATTATTATTATTATTATTGTTGTTGTTGTTGTTGTTGTTGTTCTTATTAAGGGAAGGGAGGGAGGGAGGAAAATGGAGGAAGGGACAGGAAAGAGCGATGGATGAAAGGGATGGATGGAAGGGAGGAAAGGGAATGGAATGGGAAGGAGAAAGGGGAGGGAGAAGCTGAAAGAAGGTCAAATAAAGTCTGGATTCCTGCAAAGCAAGTTCACTACAGTGAGTAGAGCTGAAGTTCAGGGTGCAGCACCATGGACAGCTCACAAAGGTTCACACAGAAGCAATACTGCTTCAACATCATATAGTCTCAGATTCAAATAGAACTGCAGTTCGGTAAAGGTAAAGTTCTCCCCTGACATTAAGTCTGGCTGTGTCCAACTCTGGGGGTTGGTGCTCATCTCCATTTCTAAGCCGAAAAGCCGGCATTGTCCGTAGACATCTCCAAGGTCATGTGGCCAGCATGGCTTCATGGAGCACTGTTACCTTCCCGCCGGAATGGTACTTATTGATCTACTCACATTTATATGTTTTCGAACTGCTTGGTATGCAGAAGCTGGGGCTAACAGCGGGAGCTCACCCTGCTCCCCGGATTCAAACCTGTGACCTTTCAGTCAGCAAGTTCAGAAGATCAGCGCTTTAACCCACCACCGGAGGCTCAGATTCAAATAGAGCTGCAGTTCAATAGGAGCAATTGGTTTTCCCCACATTTCATGAGGAGGACCATACGATCTCTTGGGTTATAGAGGTGCTGGCCAATGGGGCTCCCTTTGTGCTTGGGATTCCAAGCCAATGGGAACACCAAGGCTTGGCTCTGGGGGCAAACCCCTTTCTAATGCTTCAAAAATTAAAAAGGGAGTCAAGGAGATTTAGGCCATTATAGCACATATTCCAAGCTTGATCATTTTTGAAGGAATGTCCTTTGGTTCACACTTTAGCATGAATCAAACAATTCCACAGTAATGTCTAAAGAGGAACATGTTTATTGTATTATTGAAGGCTTTCATGGCTGGAATCACTGGGTTGTTGTAGAATTTTCGGGTTGAATGGCCATGTTCTAGAAGCATTCTCTCCTGATGTTTCGCCTGCATCTAGGGCAAGCATCCTTAGAGGTTGTGAGGTCAGACCTCAGACCTCACAACCTCTGAGGATGCCTGCCATAGATGCAGGCAAAATGTCAGGAGAGAATGCTCCTAGAACATGGTCATACAGCCAAAAAACCTGCAACAACCCAACATTTATATCTTCTCTGAATTTGGAGGTGCTATTTTTGTTCAAAAAGACATACGTACAGGGAGAGTTGTGTAGAAAAATGCAGCACACAGTAATGAAAATTGGATACAAATCTAGGGACGTGCTTGCATAAAAAGGGGGGCTGTCTTTAATAAACCCAGAGGCAACTTGGTCATAAAGAGGCCTGTCGGAACGTTCGAAAAGCTGAAGACAGACAAGGCAAGACAAGCAGACTGAAAAGCACGACCGAAACGCACGGGGAGAGGCAAGGGGAGGAGGGATGAATCATCCAATTAACTCACCTCATTTATTGGTTCCAACTGTCCTTTTAGAGATCCATGCAGAAGCAGAGGGGAGGAAAAAGAGCAGAGAGACAAGAGTGGTTTAGCAAAGCCCCAGAAAAGACTCCAAGGCACCCCACCTTCCCAGCACTTGGCCTTAGCTGCAATTCGGCAGCAAAATGATGCCATTTCCAGCTCTGATTTTTCACATATTTCATGGGAGGGCAGAGGAGAATCAATGGCTTTTCTGCATTTCCCCCCAAAGGGGCTCGTATTTGGTCTGTTTCTCATACCTTCCTTTTCTGAGATTCAGCCCCTAGCATTGCATTTGCCCCAGCTGGTTGTGATTACACTTAGTATTTGTTGGAAATAGCAACTTTCTACAAACCTCCTATACTAGTCATTTCTTATGTATATAATTCAGATTGCTTACTATATTGTATATATGTGTATTGGTATGTAGTTTTCCCTTAACTCTATGTTGTGTGAGGGACTAAAGACCATGTGATCAGATCTGGGACTGTTCAAACTGAGACTCCATTTCAGAAGTCAGTGTATTGTCAGTACAGTGTGTGGTCAGTATGCATTAGTCAGTTGCATTAAGAGAGTATGCTTTAGACCTGGGGTCCTCAAACTAAGGACCGGATACGGCCCTCCGAGGTCATTTACCTAGCCCTCACTCAGGGTCAACCTAAGTCTGAAACAACTTGAAAGCACACAACAAGAACAACAATCCTATCTCATCAGCCACAAGCAGGCCCACACTTCCCATTGAAATACTAATACGTTTATATTTATTAAAATTGTTCTTTGTTTTAATTATTGTATTGTTTTTAAGTGTTTTTTTGCACTACAAATAAGATATGTGCAATATACATAGGAATTCATTCATGCTTTTTTCAAATTATAATCTGGCCTTCCAACAGTTTGAGAGACTGCGACCTGGCCCTCTGTTTACAAAGTCTGAGGACCCCTGCTTTAGACAGACAGATAAGAGACTGCAAAAGAATGCCTTAGAGATCGAATGTTTCATATTTCCACTGATAAGCAATGTACCTGTATGCCAAATACACAAAGTTTGCAAGTTTGAAGACTGCTTATTTTTGTCTTTTGAGAGCATGCTTTAAAACCAATATATTTTATGGGGGGGTTGATGTTTTTTTGGGCAACTGAAATAACACTTCTGAAGATCTATTTATTTTGTGCATTGGCATAATCTTTGTTTCTAACAGCTCAAAGAGAGAAACCAGGTATATCAGTCTAATAACTGAGAAATCTAAATTGCCTTGCAAGAATGCTAGTGGATATTTACCACTAAAGAAGATAGTCACTCAACAAGTTTTTAGCTCTTCTCAGAAAGATCGTACTTTAAAAAAGGTTATGATAATTCCAAATAGTGTTAATGCCAATTAATCTCCTGAGGTCATCCTTTCCAAAAGGCTTTGGAGAGTCTAATTTTCCCAAAAGGTTATGGATGCCTTTCCAAAGGGTTATGCCTTTTCCAAAAATACTGACTATAAAGCTGAATCCCATTTTTGGTGTGGCACTTTTCTTATTTGCTCCACCCAGCAGGGTGACTTGGCCAAATAAACCTGTTGAAATGCTCTCCTTGCTCCTAGTGTCTAATAGGGGTTTGGGGGTTGCCTTTTAAAAGGACAAGGCAATGACTTTCAACAGTATTGTAGACTCAAGACAGCCTTCCCAAGCCTGTTGCTTTACAAATGCAAATACTTTACAAATGCAAAAAATGGCATTGCAGGCTACACATGTCGTGAGTCATGCGTTCATGGGGATTATGGTAAGTGCAACAGCATATCATCAGGGCACCAGCAATGAAGAAGATGCTTGTCTAAGATTGCAATTCTTATTTGTTTTATTGTTACGATTAAAATAAATAAGACTCATTCCTGAGGAATCCAACATTTACTCATAAAGCAGAAGCCAAAGGAATGCTTCCAGAACAGTACATTTCAATTCAATCAATCTTTTTAAAAAAACAAAACAACAGCAACACACAATCCCAATCTTTTTCTAAGCAAAGGATTTCTGTTGCTTCTTATCCTCACAACAGCCCTAAGAGGGAGATTCGGCCAAGATGACATGGCTCATACCCAGTGAAATCCTTCTTTTCTGGAATTTGGAGACAGGAAAAAATGGGAGAAAAGGGCCACTCTGAACAATGGGACACTAGATCAAGAAAAGAGAGGGTTGCAGTATTTGTTATGGTTATTAGTTTTGTATGTTGATTAACAGTTCAGGACAAGAAAGGCAAAACCAAAAGCATACAGTTACACTAAAACATTACATTGTGGCACTATTAATTACATAGACCACTGTGTTTCATTTAATACCTGTGTTAGGTATCTGGCATTGTCTGGGTTTTCATTTTGTTATTTATTCATAAAATTAATAAGTAGTGTTATGATTGTAGACATAGTTCTGTCACCAGGCTGAAACACAGAGCAGTACTTTCTCTGTCCCTTAGGTAGTGAGCACACCTGGCTGATTTAGATCTCCATAGCAACCCTCGAGTGACCTCTTGGAGTAACAGCTGGCTCTTTCCTGTAACCTTCCAATGACCTCTTGGGATCACAGCTGGCTCTTTCCCACACATTTCTAAGATGTCCATCGTGTTGCTCAGGTGTCTCACATACACACAGTAATTGTACTGTGTCTGTTTTTGGAGTCTCTTGTCCTATGTTTTTTAAGGTATTTCACAGTCACTTGACCTGATTAAATAACTAAACATATTGACCATAATGAAACCCAAAGCAGTAGTTTCTTTGATTCTGATGTACTGGCCACACTCTGGTGATATAGGTCTCCATGGCAACAATCTAGCGGCCTTACTGACCTCTTGCATTTGGTTCTTGTTGACTGTAACTCCCATCCATTTCAGATCTGGCTGGGCTGTGACTCCAGGCTGTACACCTAACAGTTCAGATGGCCCAGCCTTCTTCTTGGGCTGCAACTCCCATCATCCCAGGCTTGCCTATGTATTCTGGGAAGTAGGCTAAGTCATATGATTAGCTCAGAGGAGATCTGTGCTTTTAATCAAGGGTGGGAATTCTGAGGCTCTCTGGATGTGGGTGGACTATAATTCCCATCATCTACTACCATGGCCCCTAAATGCCTCGGGATTTTAAGGTGGGTCATGAAGAGCTGGTGTTTGGTCCAGATCTATCATTGGTGGGATACACATGGCTATCCAGATGTGAGGTGGACTACAACTCCTATCATCCTCTGGCAAGCCACCTGAAACCCCAGCAGTATTTAAAGTTCATTATGATGGGTATATATACCAAGTTTGGTTCAGAGTGCAAGAAATGAACCCAAAGAGACACCTGGGTTACTTCCTCGCGCAAATAAGTTCTCATGCTACATATAAACATTGCAAAACCATCCCCAGACCCCTTCAGAAGTTGCAGCAAGGTGTCTGATTTTGTAAAACAAATATTGAGTTCAAATGTATTTTAGATATTATTTATTATTATTTATTATTATTTATTTATTTCAAAGTTTTCTATACCGAGCTTCTCACCTCTTAGAGCAGTGGTTCTCAACCTGGGGTCCCCAGATGTTTTTGGCCTACAATTCCCAGAAATCCTAACAGCTGGTAAACTGGCTGGGATTTCTGGGAGTTGTAGGCCAAAAACATCTGGGGACCCAAGGTTGAGAAACACTGTCTTAGAGGGACTCAGCCCGGTTTACAGCCATAAAAACATACAATCAGTAAAATATCATAGTTCATAATTACAACAACACATTTAAAATAACAACTATATTTAAAACTATGGTGGTCAGTCGTCATATTAAAAACAAGTATACCTCATCTTCCATCCACAATCCTAGGGTGCTGTCTCATTCATCGAAAGCCTGTCTCCACAACCACGTCTTCACTCGTTTCCTGAATGTCAGGATAGACGGGGCGGTTCTGACCTCCAGTGGGAGAGAGTTCCAGAGTCGCGGGGCCACCACCGAGAAGGCCCTGTCCCTCGTCCCCACCAGCCGCGCTTGTGAGGCCGGTGGGACCAAGAGCAGGGCCTCTCCAGACGATCTTAGGAATCTTGATGGTACGTAGGGGAGAATACGTTCGGAGAGGTAAACAGGGCCGGAGTCGTTTAGGGCTTTATAGGTTAACACCAGCACTTTGAATTGTGCTCGGAAGCTAATTGGCAGCCAGTGGAGCTGGCGTAGCAGAGGGGTTGTATGCTCCCTGTACCCAGCATCCGTTAGTAATCTGGCTGCCGAGCGTTGGACTTGCGCAACTTCCAGGCAGTCTTCAGAGGTAACCCCACGTAGAGAACGTTGCAGTAATCTAAGCGGGATGTAACCAAAGCGTGGACTACCATGGCCAAGTCAGACTTCCCAAGGTACGGGCGCAGCTGGCGCACAAGTTTTAGTTGTGCAAAAGCTCCCCTGACCACCGCCGAGACCTGGGGCTCCAGGCTCAGCGATGAGTCCAGGAGAACTCCCAGACTGCGAACCTGCGCCTTTAGGAGGAGTGTGACCCTGTCCAGCACAGGCTGTAAACCCGTACCCTGTTCGGCCTTACGACTGACCAGGAGTAGCTCTGTCTTGTCTGGATTTAGTTTCAATCTGTTGTCCCTCATCCAGTCCGTTACAGCGGACAAGCACCGGTTCAGGACCTGGACAGCCTCCTTAGTAGCAGATGGAAAGGAGTGATAGAGTTGGACATCATCTGCGTACATATGACACCACACCCCAAAACTCCGGATGATCTCTCCCAACGGCTTCATGTATATGTTAAACAACATAGGGGACAGTACTGAACCCTGCGGGACTCCACAGTACAATGGCTGAGGAGTCGAGCAGGTGCCCCCTAGTGACACCTTCTGGGAGCGACCCTCGAGGAAGGACTGGAGCCACTACAAAGCAGTACCCCCAAGACCCATTCCTGCGAGGCGTCCCAGAAGGATACCGTGGTCGACGGTATCGAAGGCTGAAGAGAGGTCCAGCAGAACCAACAGGGACACACTCCCCCTGTCCAGTTCCTGGAGAAGATCATCTACTAAGGCGACCA